CCCCAAAACCCCAAAACCCCAAAACCCCAAAACCCCAAAACCCCAAAACCCCAATTTAGATATTCAGATTAAATTTAATCAGAAATGGCAGCAAAGAAGGTAACTTCTCACTCACTCTGCAGGAAGCCATCGCAATTGTCTTAGACGTCAGTGCAACAATGAACAAGCCTTTCCGTGGAGGGAGAAAAGGGAGGAGGAGACTCCATGCAGCCGTCGACTCCATCAAGAGGCTCATTGAGCAGAAACTTCTTTACTCCAAAGGAACCGAAATTGGCATTGTGTCTTTTGGCAGTGATACTACCAACAACCCGATCAACGACAGACAAGGCGGCTATGAGCATGTAGATGTCATCGCATACATGGAAGAGCCGACTCCTGACCTTTTGTCAACACTCGAATCCAGGGTGAAGCCATCCACAAGTAAGATCTTGATAACTCGTAGCTGCCAAGGGCGACTGGATTGATGGACTCATTGTTGGCTTTGACATGATCTACAATAAAATTGGTAAGCATCTGCAAGAACTTCTAGGAACCAAGAAATACACCAAGCGAATCTTCGTGGTGACTGACGGTGAAAATGAAGTTAAAGAAGCAGACCAGCTGCAAGAAATCATCGAGCAACTGAACGCCTCCGACACCAGTGTCAATATCATTGCAATTGACTTCTGTAGTTCTCTGGAAGACTCAGACTCCGAGTCGGGAGATCCGAAAGAAGAACACAAAAGCGACGGAGATGATGATGACGACGAGAACGACAACAAGCCGAAGGGTGGTAAGGCTGGAGTAATCTTGGTAGAGAGACTAATCAAGTCGGAGTTGGAAGAGTTGGAGGAGCAACTGGGTGATAATACAGAAACTCAAGAGCAAAGAGACAACCAAGCAATTCTAGAAAATTTCACTTCAAAAATTAAAGGTGCGATCTTTCCCGCTAAAATTGCTATCTCTATATTCAAACAATTCCAAAAATAAGGATGTTTCCAAAAGGACTAAATTCAGAGGTGCTCTAGAGCTTGCTGAAGGTCTAGATCTAGAAGTCTGAGTCTATACAAAGACTACTGAAGAGAAGATGCCTAGTCTAAAGAAGCACTCTCTTGCTGTAGACCCATCAGACGATGTTAAAGAAGGAGAAATCACAAGGGAAGTATTCTACACTGATTCTAACGATCCAGAGAAGAAAGAAATAGATCCCGAAGAAGTAATTAGGGCTTATTTCTACGGAAAGAAACTAGTGCCGATCGATAAAATCAACGAACACGTCCTCAAATTCACTGATGAGAGATGCCTCAAAATGCTCGGGTTCACCGAGGGCGACAAGGTACCTCGACAAAACTATATGTCAGGATGTGATATAGTAGTTCCTGTAGAATCCTCCAAAAACAGAAGAGCTTTTAGCGCTCTTCTTAAGGCAATGATCGACACAGATAAAGTGATGATTGCTAAATGGGTCAGTAGGAAGAATGCAGCTCCCAAGCTGGTTGTCCTTCATCCATACCAGGCTCCTAAGTTTGAGTGCCTCTACATGAATGTCCTTCCGACTGTCGAAGATATCAGAGATTACCAATTTGGTTCATTAATGGAGTCAAATCAAGAGCAACAGAAAGCAATGGATGAATTTGTAGATGCACTTGATATCGACGAAAATGAAAATGAACAAGCAGTTGAGAATGAAGAAGGGGTCTATAACCCAACTCTACAATATTTCAACCAATGAGTAATTCACAGGATCTACAACGGTGAAGACTCTCAACTTCCTGAGCTAAACCCGACGATTGAAGAGCAGGCAAGACCTGAAGCTGAATACCATGAAAGAGCGCAAGAAGAAATCAAGCAACTTGAAAGTGTGTTTGAGCTCGAAGAGAACAAAGAAGAAATTAGAAGAAGAGAGAGAAGGCAAAGGCTAAGAGACATCATTCTCACTGGTGCTAATGAAGAAGAAAAAGAAACACCCCAAGAAGTAGAAGCTACTGAAGAACAAGTTCCAGAAATGGAACCAGCAGAAAAAGAAATGAAATTCAACTTCAAAGATGAGGAGAAGGTAGAGAAGATCACTTCGATGAACCCTATTCATGACTTTGAGAAGATGATCGAGGATAGAGTAGTTGATAGAGTCGATGACGCTCTCAAACAAATGAGACAAATCATATTAGATTTTATCAGACATAGCACGGGAGGAGATATGTATGAAAAAGCATTAGAGTGTCTTAGAAAAATGAGAGAATCTTCCAAAGATAATGATGAAGCTGAGCAGTTTAATAACTTTGTCACTGAGCTCAAAGCTAGATTCTCAGTTGGAATGCACCAAGATTTCTATGAAACCATGAGGACTCAAAATATTGGCCTCATCACTAAAGATGAATCTTTCAAGTCTAAGATCACTAAAGAAGAAGCTGATGAATTTTTTGGTTTCCAAAATAACAACAATGTTCAGGAAGAAGTCCAAGAAGATAAAGAAGAGAAGAAAGAAACTAGGTAAGATTCCCATATTTATCTTATAGTATGTTCGACGACCTTGAGTAAAAGTATAATTCAACAATCTTTCTTAATCCTGGGGTTTTGGGGTTTTGGGGTTTTGGGGTTTTGGGGTTTTGGGG